TTCTGTACCTGAGCTGTCCCACTGGCTTAACAGGCCCCAAATTCTGCCTCAAAGAAACAAACCAAAATGTTGAGCGAAGAGTAAATAAATATTATAGATAATAGCTGTCCAGGGGAAAAATTTGGTGCAGGCAGCAGTTACAACAGGCTTTGGGGCCCATGTATCCCATATAACACTGCTAGGATTCAAGTCCCAGTTTCCCACTAATGCACACTCTGAGAGACAGCAGAGTATAGTTCAAGTACTTGGATCCCTGCCACCCATGTGCGAGACCTCCTCTCTTCAGCCTGGTCCAACCCTATTGCAGTTTGAGGGAATGAACCAATGGATAGAAGATCTATCAGTCTGTTTATTTCACTCTTTCAACAAAATTAAAACAAATAAAATTTTAAAAATTAAAAACAGGGGTAAAGGGCTGGCATGCAATGTTGACATCCCAGGTCTGAGTGCCTATTGGAGGTCCAACTGCCCCTCTTTCCATCTAACTGTTAATACATCTGAGAAAGCAGCAAAACATATCCAAGTTTCTGAGCTATTGCCAATTGCTGAAGACCTGGATGGAATTCCAAGTGTCTGGCTTTAGCCTGGCCCAAGCATATGTCATTGTGGCCATTTGAGAAGTGAATCAGCAGATAGAATATCTCACTCTCTATGTGTCTCTCCCTTTTTCAGTCACATTCCTTAATAAAATATTTATAAATAAATAAAATAAAAAATAGGGATGTGTTAAGGATTAAGCCATTGCTTGGAATGTCCACATCCCATATGGGAGTGCTGGTCCGAGTCCCAGCTACTCTGCTTCTGATCCTGCTAATGAATCCTGGGAGGGAGAAGATGGAGGCTCAAATACCTGCATCCTCACCAACCTCATGGGAGATCCTGGTTCCTGGCTTTAGCCTGGTCCAGCATTGGCTTTTATAGACATTTAGGGAGTGAGCCCGCTAATGGAAAATCTTTCTCTCTGTCTCTGTGTCTTTCTCTCTGCCTATCAAGTAGACGAAAATAAATAAACATTTTTAAAAAATTTATAAAGCTGCTTATATATTAGCTTACTGTAAAGACTACTAAATGAATCATTTTATAAGCAACTATTGCTTGTTGAAAGTTATTAAACTTTTATTAATCTTATTAATCCTATTAAAATGCTTAGTTATATTGCCTTACAATATGAATACAGAATACAATACAATGTTGCCAAACTGTCCCTCATTCTATAGTCTCCATTTGAGAGGTAAATGTTAGAAAAACCTGTATTCTAGACCCAGTTCTGCCATTCGCTGCTTTTGTTACACTTGGCCAGTTATTTAATTTCACAGAGACTTCAATTTCTTCATCATACAATGAAGTTTAAAATATCTCTTTACTTGAAAACATGAAATCACAAAATTAGTTAAATCTGAAGAGTGTTAGAGGTCACTTAGTTAATTTGTTTTGTTTTACAGATGAGAAAGTTACCAGGTCACACAGTTGGTTGGTAGAATATTCATAATGAGCACCCAGCTGTCCTAATTACTGACATGTGTGCTCTACACATTATTATTATCATCATATTTACTTCACATAAATCTTCCATTTCTATAAATTTAATCCACTCATCCTTATCCCAATCACCAGCATCCAAACCCTTCTACTTTCCCACAGTTGGCCAGCTTTTTGGAACTCTCCCACATGTGTCAATGACATCTACTCAGCATCAGGAACAAAATGAAGGACATGCTCATCTCTGCAGCTTCCCCTGAGCTTCCTTGCAGACAAGGGGACTCCTTCCTTTCTGAACCACATTACACCTAAGGGATCCCTGAGTTATCAACACTTAAGTCATCAGGTCACAAACCCAATGAATAATGCACCCAATTTAGGCATGACAGAAGAGCCTGATCACACCTAATTTTTAATGTTTTTAGCAACTAAAATTGTGCTTATTCCATAACTCTCTACATGTAATAGGGGAATAAAAATAATAGCTCTTACTTGAGACTTTTGTGAATTTTAAACTTTATATAGACATATCAAAATAGAGCAGTGCTTGACTCATACTATGTTGTATATTACTCTTAGTAATTATTGTATCATTTGTTGTTTAGGGTGATGATGATGTTTGGAGCACTAAATAACTTGTCTTCTGGAGAAGTACTAATCAAATCCCAAACACTATTTCTAATGGGAGCTACCAGAAAATAAGGAAATAATAAAACTAAGTGCTTTTTCTTTCTTCTTTAAAGAGAATTGCACTCCTTACTTCCATGAGTGCCTGAGACTTTCTGAATTTCTTAGAGACAAAGTATAGATAGTATAATACATATTTTTACAGAAATCAAGATTTTTTTGCTTTGCCTCATGATTCTTATTTCCTATACCTTGGTTCATAGGCAATGAGTGTTGTAGATCAATGACATTTATCAATATTTTTCAGATATTTGAAAGGTAGAGTGGGGGCTATAGGATTCCACTTTCATCTAAGGAGATAATGATAACAGAAATCTGTTTCCTTACTGCTAGAACTGCTCTTAAATTTAGACTTTAACAGCTACAATCACGTATCCTGTCATGATAGGGATAGAATAGGTAGCATAAAAACTACTCTCTCTTGGAGTAGACATTTAACCCAATATAGATAAGACTTCAGTTAGGATGCCCAGTGTCTGGGTTTGATTCCAGGTTCCATCTCCCAATTTCAGCTTCCTCCATAGCATGTGGGAAGCAGCAGACAACGACCCAATATTTGGGTACCTGCCATCCATATGTGAGACCTGAGTTGAGTTCCTGGCTCCTGATTTCAGCCTGTCCCAGCCAAGGCTATTGATGGCATTTGGAGGGTAAACCAGCAGTTGGGAACTCTGTCAGTTTATTTTTTTCTGTTTCTCTAATAAAAAAAAATATTCTCAACTAGAACTCAGGATATCTGAGCTGTCACAGCTCTGCTTCTGACTGTGCTTCTGACAGATGAATAATTTGTATCTGAAATGAAAGCCCTTCATCTGCATTATTCTAGAGTCCTACTTGACCCAAGTCTTTCTCCTGTTTTTAAAATTTTGATAAAACAGTATGTTAATAGACAAGTTTCAGAACCAATTTGGACCAACATATTTTAATTTTTTTTTTTTTTTTTTTTTGGACAGTGAGAGAAAGAGATAGAGAGAAAGGTCTTCCTTTGCCATTGGTTCACCCTCCAGTGGCTGCCGTGGTCAGCGTGCTGCAGCCAGCGTACCACGCTGATCTGAAGGCAGGAGCCAGGTGCTTCTCCTGGTCTCCCAGGGGGTTCAGGGCCCAAGCACTTGGGCCATCCTCCACTGCACTCCCGGGCCACAGCAGAGAGCTGGCCTGGAAGAGGGGCAACCGGGACAGAACCCGGCGCCCTGACCGGGACTAGAACCCGGTGTGCCGGCGCCACAAGGTGGAGGATTAGCCTGTTGAGCCACGGTGCTGGCCCCAAGGACCAACATATTTTAAAAACTTTATTTATTTTAGAAGTTAAGTTACAGACAGTGAGCAGGAAAGATAAACAGAAAGGCTTTCCCTCCACTGGTTCATTCTTCAAATGGCCATAGTGGCTATAGCTGGGCTGATCCGAAACCAGGAGCCAGGAGCTTTTTATAGGTCTCCAGTGCAGGTGCAGGGGCCCAAGTGCTTGGGCTATCCTCCACTGCTTTCCCAGGCTATAACAGAGAGCTGGATTGGAAGTGGAGCCCTTAGAGGATGCTGGCACCACAAGCAGAGGATTAACCCACTGCATCACAGTGCAGGCCCCTGGACCAAGATTTTGCTGCTTAATAACATAAATGTCTCCAGTAATGGAGCAGTATTCTGTAGCATTAACCCCATACTTAAAATTAAAATTCCATAATATAAAATTTTACAATAAATGAAGAAAGAAAATCTTACTGTTTCCATTCTGTTGATAAAGCATGACAAAGAGATCTTTTATGGCTTGCACCAGTTAAACAGCTAATTTATCAATACAGTGTAGGTGAGTACTTGTGGGAAGCCCACAAATTTTAGATTGGGCATAAGACTGACAAGAGAAGGAGATAGTCTTTCCCCAGAAAGTATTTTGTTTAATAGACAAGACATCAGATGAAGAAAATATGCATAGTTCTTTAATTATGTTTTCTTGCTTTACATTGTTTAATCTGATATCTTTTTAATATAGTGGGATCATTTGAAGAACTATTCTATTAGCATGTCATTAGTGTGCCTTTGCATTGTTTGGAAATGATCAATGATATTTTCATAGATATTACTCTGAATATCTATGTTATATTATCCATAACTCTCTTAAGAAAAATAATCTATTGCTTTATAATTGTTTTTCATATACTACCATTCCAATATACTACCAATCCAATATACTATAAAAATCTGAAGGATCTTTTTTTGTGTGTGTTTTCTCTATTATATACCACAATATCTAGTACTTTATTTGATCATATGTCAAGATTAGCCTAAGACAGTTCTGGTTTATACCTCCTGTCCTAGTATGCTCATATCCAGCACACCTTTTCACTGGTAAAACATACCCATCAAATGATAAATTATTTAGTCAATCTCCTTACATATACACACTCCCAATAAAGAGTTGTAAATGATAATTCCTCAATATAAGGTTCCTTCCCTTGATTGAATTCTGTTTCAATATTCATCCTCTGTTTTACAAAGTAATCATGAACTCTAGAGAAATAATCTAACTGATATGTGAAACCATGGGTTATTTCAAGAATTGTAAAACATAATGTCTTATGTGAATTTTGAAAAGATTTAATCTTTTATAGAACCCCCCAAAATAGTCAACTAAACCCCCCAAAATAGTCAACTACACCCATAGCCCGTTTATATATTTAGCATATTTATATACTGCCAAGCAATGTTCACGGTGTTGAGATAGAGTGGTGACTAGAGCAGATGTGTTAATTATGATCAGGAAGCATATGACTTGATGGAAGAGACAGACTTTGCAGAAACATACCAAGTTCATAAACAGATGATAAAGTGATGATACTTACCAGGAAAGTGTCAAGGTGCTATGTGATCAAATACCAAGGTCCTAATGTAGATGGAAGTGGCAAGGACACAAGGAAGGAAACACAGGCAAAGGCAGCACTGATGTTCCAACTTGAATGATGAGTAGGACAAGGTTTGCAAAGAGTGGAGGAAGAGTGTCCCTGGATAAAGGAAAGCAAGTGGTGCAGTTCTGAAATGAAAAGGAGTTCAGAGTTTAAGAAACTGAAAGTAGGCCAACAAGTCATAGTCAAAGCTAGGGATAAAAATTGGGGTTTTTGAGAAGTGATATAGGAGACCAAGAAAAAAGACTAGATTCTGCAAATCTGGGACAACTGTTTCTTGTAGCAGCACATTCACTAATTTTATCTCAAGCTTGTCAGAATAATGGAGCCAGAACTATGCCCAGGAGAATAAAAGACATATTTACAGTTTATAGTCTTTCTTCACCTTTGATATTTTCACAACATTGGATATCCTTTCACTGAAAGGTATGGGATAGAGGGTTAGAAAATAGAGAAGGAAAGATGAGTGAGAAAGAAGACCAGATTCATTGTTTCAAGGAAAATCACTCCAGTCACTGGGACTATCTACTCATTCCTTTCTCTTCCTCCTCTTTTTTTTTAATTAAAAAAGGCATTTACATGCTAATTGGATCTTTATTCCTTGAGAGTCCCTCTGCTCTTGTAAGTTTTCCTCTTCTGAAGTGTTTAATCCTCAGTTTGAAACATCACTGTTGATTGCAGTAGAAAGACTATGATGTCACAAATGGGGGATTATGACTTCACAGGGGAAATAAGAGAGCAAGACAGACAGTTCCAAGAGACCAAGATCTTTTATTTATGAGAATGTCTCTATTAATCAAAGAGGGAGAGAAAAAGAAAACATATAGAATATGACAGCAGAATTGTAGCTAAATAAAATATTCTTCAAAATTATCCTGGCAATGTCACTTTCTCTTTAGAGGATTCCTGAGAAATGTTATTGCAGAAGATAGGTTTGAGCTTCCAAATCTCCTCATACTTAGCACTTGAGAAATATTTCTCCCTAGGGTAATGGGAAACATCATTAGGACACAGAGCAGCTTCCACTAGAGAATGCTAAGGAGTAAAGTGCAATGCCACTCATGATCCTTTTGAGATTTCTCCAGTTGAGTCCTTGGAAGAGCTTTCCTCCATTCTGTTTAGCTCCATTTATGAAACCCATGACCTAATCTGGCTTTGAATATGATGTACGAGTCATCCAAAGGTGTATTTTAATTTTCCCTCAGAAAAGCAGTTCACTATTTCTCTTTTGTAAAAAAAATATTTTTTTTTATTTGAAAGGCAGAGTTATAGAGAGGCAGAGAGAGAAAAAGAGAGAGAGAGAGAGAGAGAGGTCTTTCATCTGTAGGTTCACTTCCTGATGGCTGCAATGCAACGGCCGGAGCTGTGCATATCCAAAACCAGGAGCCAGGAGCTTCTTCCAGGTCTCTCACACTGGTGCAGAAGCCCAAGGACTTGGGCCATCTTTCTCTGCTTCCCCAGGCCATGCAGCTCACTAGTTCTAATGCAAACACCATTTCACTTTTTAATCAAGTGAAATTATTGGTTTCCGTAAGTATACATCCTTGGAATTAATTTTCATTGATAACAAATATTATTGTATTTTGAGTTTCAGATATGTTGCAAACTGTCAGAATAAATCACATTGTCATATTTCTTAACTTCACACTTTTGTTGTGAACTTTGCTGTAATACCGTAATACTCATCAGCAAATCATGTACCTCATATTTGGCCAATGTTTCCCAAAGTGCCTGTTGTCAAATAAAACACAACAGAACAACCTACAGACTCAAATAGAGATTCATGAGTCCCCAGTTCCAGAGATGCCGGGATGCACGCTGGTTGAGGTCAAGGAGACTGTGTTTGTCCCAAGTGATATGCACATGGAAGACTGAGAACCCTGGCCTTATGCTTTTCATGAAACAGTAGAGAAATGACACAACCCTGTAATGTCTCATGTAGGGACTTTATTGAATGTGGATATAGGAGTTACCTTCCTAGGTGAGCACTCAGTACTCCCTGTCTCTGCCCATTATGGACTCGGTCTTCAAATTCCTCCTTGTCCCAACAAAAGTTTTGCTTGGCACTAAATCTCACTTCTACTTTTAAAAAGAATGCTTATGAACCTTTATTTCCTCCACAGAGATTGTCTATAAGGGACTTTACTGGTGATACTACCAAAAACAATTATCTTTGTGAAAACAGAGTAACTATGCTTCTTTCCCCCAAAAACTTGTATTAAAGGAGTGTATGACACAGTTGGTTAACAACCACATAGGACACCCCCATCTCTCGTGAAAGTGCCTGATATCCAGTCTCAGCTCTGCTGCAAATCTGGTTTCCAGCCAGTGTGCATCCTTGATGTTAGTAGAAAATAGCTCAATGGCTTGATTCCTTGCCATCCACGTGGGATCCAAGATGTAGTGCCTGGCTCCTGGCTTTGGCCTGACACAGACATTTAGGGAGTGATCCAGTAGGTGGAAATTATTTCTCTGCCCTTATCTCTCTGTCACTCTACCATTAAAATAATAAATAAAACTTAAAAGAATAAGATTGGCATTGCTGAAGTGTAATATACCGAAAGTAAGGTATACATGCCTGAGTATACAAATTGATGTGTTTTAACTAAGTGAATAGATTATGTAATCACCTCCTACAAAAGTAAATACAACACTAACAACCCCCCAAAAGTGCCTTTCTTTTCAGGCATTGGACTTATCAGGGCAATTATTCTGATTTCTGTTTTGGAGATTTATAAAATTGGAGTGGTATGATCTGTAGTATGTTGAGTCTTGTTTCTTTGGCTCATGAGATTCACCTGTGTCATTATTTGTATTAGTATGTCCTCATTGATGAATAGTGTTTCATTATAGGAATATACATAATATGTTAATCCATTCTCATATTGTTCTTCATGTGTATTGATTATACTTTGTTGTTACAAAGACTAGTGCTATAATGAATATTTTAACACATCTCTTTTAGGTAACACCTACATATTCTGTGTTAGATACCAAGAGATGAAACAAGTTTAGCTTTAGTATTCACTGCTATGTTAGTATGTATTTTAATCACTAGAGTATATGGTGGCTGGCACCGTGGCTCACTAAGCTAATCCTCCGCCTACGGAGCCAGCACCCTGGTGTTCTATTCCCGGTTGGGGCGCCGGATTCTGTCCCAGTTGCTCCTCTTCCAGTCCAGCTCTCTGCTGTGGCCCAGGAAGGCAGTGGAAGGATGGCCCAAGTGCTTGGACCCTGTACCCACATGAGAGACCAGGAGGAAGCACCTGGCTCCTGGCTTCAGATCGGCGCGGCACACTGGCTGCACTGGCCGTAGCGGCCATTTGGGGGTGAACCAATGGAAGGAAGACCTTTCTCTCTGTTTCTCTCTCTCTCACTAACTCTGCCTGTCAAAAAAAAAAAAAAAAAGAGTATATGGTATGCATTTTGTCTTCTTGATTATTCTTATATGAATTATTAATTTATAGTGTTCTACATTTTCTGCTGAGTTTCTCTTTCAGTTGATTTATGAAAACTATTTGAACAACATTAAGTGGCATCATGTATTACCAGATAAATTTTTTTTGGTTTTTGCTCACTATTTATTTTGATTATTTTATTATCACATTTGTAAAAAAAAAAAAGATCTGTAGACACCTCAACATAATTCACAATGGATTTATCTCAATATCATTAAAATATTTATTTGCTATCTTTTAGTATGTTTTAATTGTCATTTTAATTCACTTATTTATGTTCAAATGAAAATATACATATATAATATACATATAATATGTATATATGAGGAAACCACAAATCATTCATGGAAAATTAAAGTACAAAGTACATTTATTTTGTATAAAAGTATTACAATCATATAGCTTTCTTTATAATACACATTTTCCATGAATATTTTGAAAATCTCTTGTATGTGTATGTATATAAATATATACATAGTTAATACTAGAATTTACCTTTGTATTAAATAACTATATATAGATATACTCTATAATTTTATTTAAATTAAAACTATAATCCCTTCAATTTTATTTTATTTTTTTAAAAGATTTAATTAATTTTTTGAAAGACAGTATCACAGAGAGAGGTAGAGACAGAGAGAGAGGTCTTTCATCTGCTTGTTCACTCCCCAGATGGCCGCAATGGCTGGAGCTATGCAAATCCGAATCCAGGAGCCAGGAGTTTCTTCTGGGTCTCCCACGTGGGTGCAGGGGCCCAAGGATTTAAGCTTTCTTCTACTGCTTTCCCAGGCCATAGTGGAGAGCTGGGTTGGAATAGGAGCAGTTGGGACTAGAACTGGTGCCCATATGGGATGCCAGCACTTCAGGCCAGGGCTTTAACCTCTGAGCCACAGCGCCGGCCCCCCAAAATTTATTAACTATAACTTATGTTACTATCTTTAAATTTATATTGCAAATGCACTTTCTGAAAACACAATGTCAATTTGCAGTATTATGCCAGTTTCCACTCTACCACTTTATGATATACAATGAGTTTTGAAAATTGACAACTTTGTGGCTGAAGAATAGAATATCTTTGCTTTTTCTATAGTTAGATTCACTGAATATAATATACCAACAGAAATGTATGTGTACCATTAATGAACATACAAAGGTATATATTAAAAGGAATTCCACTGTATCAGTACCATCACCGCATTTCATTTTCATTTTCCATAATGATATCTGTGGGGACCCATGAGTAGGCCTAACATGGGACCTCTGAGTTAAGGCTTGGCCTGGCAGCCGTGTTGCGTTTGCTAAAGAGGATGTTTTTAGTTTAAATTGGGATGGTGCTTTCCACTGGATGTAAATGACTTTGAGGGACTTTCCAAAAAGGGTATAGAGTGTTGTAAACAACAAGATGGCGCCAAGGACCACACGAAGAGCCTGCCCACCACGTGACATCTCATTTGATTGGCCCAGGAGCGCATGAATGCCGCGTGAACAGGCATCGGATTGGAGTGCTCTGTGCATGAACTTTAGCCAGCTTCCAATTGGTTGGATTTTGTATCTAAGTCGTACGCTGAGGAAGGAAGCTCTCTCTCTCTCTCTCTCTCTCTCTTTTCCTTCCTCCTTCCTTTCCCTCTACCTCTGTCGCTGTTATTTTCTTAATAAAAGTCTACAGAAGACCGTTTAGCTGTGAGTAGCGTCGTTCCTTTGCGGGCAAGGGAGCGACAATATCATATTTAATATTACTGGTTCTAACTCTGGACTTGATATTGTTTCTAGTAATTGTCCATTCCTAACAAACATTACACTCTTTTCAGTTTCAGGTATTGGTATGCTTAATGTCTGTTAGTAGAATCCATGCCTCCTAACCTCCTCTTCTCTAAGTGCTCTTAAATATTCTCAATTATTTCCACATGATTATAAAATTTAAAGTATATTTGTTAACTTATAACATTTTAAATAAAATTGTAAATTTATTTTAATAGATTAATGAATCAATTCTGCATAATTAACACAATTATATTGTGAAATATTCCCAAATAGTAGTAAATATGTCTATCAATTTATCTCCTTCTCTTTTCAAAGTAGATTTTATGGCTATTAATATATACATCATCAATTTTTTTTCTGAGCTTTTTTTAAAGATTCATTCATTTATTTGAAAGGCATAGTTACAGAGAGAGAAGTAAAGACATAGAGAGA